TCCCAGCTCGACAGACGCCACACAATCCACACCATAGTCCATCGTTAATTTGCAGAAATACAGTGTTTAAGTTGATCCGGTCTGTGTCTCAGTTCATATGAATGCTTGAGTGCGCGCGTATAGGGTGTCCCAGAATGTCTAAGCACGATTAAAAAAACAGGGCCCAAGAAGTCCCCAATTGGCCTGGCCTGGGGACAGTTTGGTGGATTCATCTCCTTGGGTACGAATTGGACCTTGTTGGCTTTATACTAGGCTACCGTGTCCTTAGAGTAATGAACCGACGCCAAATCCGGCCAAAAGAGTACTGAGGCGTCGTGTTTGCGGATCATGGGTAACAGACGCTTGTTTAAACACTAACGCACGTAAACATCGCTTGTCATTGTATCCGTTGTCACATACGGTTTGGGAAGTATACCACACTGACAAATGGCTTGCCAAACCATAGCCTTTTTACCGAACTTTTCGGTAAAAATCGGCTTATCAGCGTCGTCAACACTTCGGTTATCACGAACGGTGTAGTACTGATCACCAGGAAGAGTTTTGTAATCAAATTTAACATAATCACGCCCATAATCACGCACACCGATTTTCCGCACAGCAGTTGATCGTATTACTTCCGAGCTCTCGGTTTGACGGATGCGGCTTGTTTTTCACTCCGTTTTGGCTTCTTCTGCTTCTTATACGTCTTTAGACCCACTCTTGCCTTGGCCCGCTGGACGTTACACTTAGAAGATCGCACTTTTTTAGCCACGTCTCGAACCGAAGTAGTTTTCTTACGAGTGAAAGCTTTCCGGTTTCCGGTCCAGATTTCGGTCAACAGGGTTAGGTTTACGTCTAGATTTATGCTTGTCCTGGAAAGTTGCTTCATCACTATACTTACGAATCGCGTTTCGAATGGCTCCGATGCTTACACCACAGACAAACAGACATAACACTTATAAGTTGTTCATCGAACAAGCCTTTAACGGTCAATTTGAAAGTATCTCAGTTGGTAGTACTGCCACCTGTGGCGCGCATAGTAAATTCCCTTGCGTTTGACGTTTACACACTACCACCATCTGTTCAGTGTACTACCCACCACAGTGTAATCAACAGATGCATGGCGGCAATGTTTTAGCGACGATGTTTGACAATGAGAAATATTCAATGTGTTATGTCTGTTTGTCTGTGCTTATACCTTCCAATTTCGCTAATTGACTCAGAGAATTGTGCTAAGGGATAGTACACCATTTGTGCACGATCTGTTTGCGCTTTTCCGGGGAAATGCTTCGCATTGTCATGGAAATGTAAAGAACCGACACTTGCAATACATGAAACTGTTAGTCAAAAGGTAAACATTGGTTCAGCGTGATAATCAGCTGTTTAAACGTCATCCGAAACAAGCAGGGGTGTTCAAAAGTCGTGCTTAGACATTCTGGGACAGCCCCTCCAGTTTGCCCAGTAGTGCGCCGACTCTGAGACACAGTTCGAAAAGTATCGTGTTCCTGAGTTGTTGTTGGGCAGAACTTCAGTTTCAAGTGGATCATTTTAAAAAACTTATAATCTTTGAAATTCAATATCTACTAAAATAAACATATCGCTTTGACGTAGGACTACGTCAGTGATTTCTATATGAGGGTACACTTTTTGAAAACCGAAAATGGAAATAGTATCGAAATTATGAAAGATTTTAAACATTAATAACTCAGCTTCCCCTGCACCAATTTTAATAATTTTATCACCAATCGATCAGAGATATTTCTACGCATCGATTTTGACTGTTGATTTTCAACAAGAAACTATTGAAAAGTGGTAAATGTCAAGCAATGTCCAAAAGTGTCGAAATTACCAACAAATCCACCAATTACGCACCAGGTCCTGCTGCAGTTAACAAATAGCATTTATTATATAAGACCACGTAGTCCTATATATCACCATTACGTACAACCCCAAAGGGTTGTCTCTTGTAGTTTTTCTCGTTAAGTGATTCTTCTGTTAAAATATCTTTTTTTTTTTTCCTTTGTTTTGTTTTCCGTCGATCTTGTTTTCCGTGCTGAGCACCAATGCTACCGACGCCAGGAAGGCAGCTCCCACACCTGGACCCTACCTATCGACTCATCAATTCATGAACCGGGGACCAACGGCTTTACTTCCCTTCCGAAGGAAGGCGTGATTAGAGATGTTATGCCTCAGAACATCCCGACGGCGCCGACTGGGATTGAATCCAGGCCTGCTGGGGTGAGAGGTAATCACGCTGCTGAAATATCTGCTGAACACTTTGGTGCCATCAAAATTAAAATATAAGTGGGGGCATAAGAGATATTTGCGATTAAAGTTTTCTAACGAAAAAATCGTAGAGTTGGCAACACTGTAGAAAAGTTATGATAATCATAGTCTACAGAACCATCAAAAAACCAAAATTGTTTCTTGGACTATGAAGCTGATTACACAGCAAAAAATTAATTTGGATATCACATCAAAGTGGATGCACTTCAATCGTGTCAAAAATATGGTGTAATATTACTTTTTATTTATTTTTGTGCCAATAAAAGCTACAGGAGATTTTTGACCTGACTGAAATCATCCTCTTGGATGTAATATTAAAATTAATTTTTAGCTGTGTGTTAAATCATTATTACGACAGTGAGGATGCATAAGGGCGGATACGCGATTATCGATTCTCTTCATCGATATTCTCTTTGCATTGCTACAGCTAAGCGAAATAATTTTCTAGAATTTGTTCAGGTTGTATTGGCTATCATAAGCAACAGCAAACACACCGAGAAACGTTAAATCTAGCGAGAGAAAAAAAAAAAGCGAGAGAAAATCGACGAAGAGAATCGATTATCGCGTTTACGCCCTTATGCATGCTCACTGTCGATTACATCATTCTTGACTTATTCGGGTATCAGACTAGAACTCGTGGCCTTCAGGAGAGGCATGAACGCCAACCATTACGCTAGGATCTCTATACCCTTAAACGAACTACCCGACAAACAATTTGTATACGTCAAGACAAGTTTGAGTACGTAAAATTTGTGAATGATAAATTAAGCAAAACTCACCGCCCAATTAAAGCCACAGAACTCAGCTTCGCAATCGGGCGGATGCTGCGAACTTTTAGAAAAGCTGCTGAAAATTAAAAAAAAAAACAAACTGTTAATTGTTGTGCCGCCAGGCCACCGAGATGTCCCCTGTGCAAGAGCAAAGACAAAGTCTCTGGTGCAACATTGCCCACTGATTACACAGATGGAGGCGGCCGATGGCGACTACGACGACGACGACGACGGTGGCGTCGACGACTTAAGTGGTTCGGTGCCATGTATGGTGATGATTGCTTTTTTGGTTATTTACCAATTTCAGTGTCACTCGCAGCATGCTGCGGGTAAACTGTCATGCTGCAATGGCCTACTACCCCTGACTGGCGAGTGTGGGTATCTCCAAGTTTGGCCTCAACGAGCAGCGGAATCGCAATCAGCTGATAGGCTGTGGCGCCTCGGAATCGCCTGGAAATTGATTATGCATTCAATTATTACTAAATCACAGAGCTGACGGACGCGAGAAAGTGCTTGTTGGCCGTTTTCTTTTATGGTAAAGTCAATTGTCGTACGCGGTCTGCCATCAAACGGCTTCCAGTCTCAAGAAAGCCCGACCGCCTTTTCGTTGAAGAGAAGATTCATGCGAATCGCCTACAATCGAATGTCAGACTGTGGCGAAGGTTTGTAGCAGCACTTGAACCTGGGAACTTCCGGCCTTCGGTCGTACGACTAGCATTGTGGCGCCAAGTCTCATACGTCACCTCACGGGCGCCTCTGCCTCTCAAGGGTTCCCCGTTGAAATCTGATAGCGCTTAGCTCCTTATCTTTCAGTTTTTTGTCTTTATATTTTAACCGTGGCGAATCGCAAATTGTGTCTCTTTCGCCGACGTCGCCACCACCGATTCGATTGTTTCCGTGAAGTCTATGAGACAACGACTACCTACGTTTGAAATTCAATATTTATTCGAACTGCCACGAGAAGCGCCGCTTCCAGGTAGGATCGGAGCCCGGTTTCAAAGTTGCGCAACGGATCATAGTTGACCACGACTTTTTTTCAATTGCGACGAAGAATGCCAACAAATAATGGCGGTATTCAGGTCACTTCGATCCGGGGAGGGGGTATTGCACTGAAAGGGCTTAACCTCCAATCAATAATCGGTTTTTATTGGACAGCGCAAATCCTCGGCGCGTCTAAAAACGGCCGTTCCGTTCGGTACATCATCACCACGCAGAGAGTGCAACTGGCGCCGGGTATAATCTTAAATATATCCCACCATCAGACAGAGTACTTATGTGAGAGAGTACCAATAAAACAAACATTATTGGCGACTGCTTTGAAAGTGCTGCTGCTGCTGCTGCTGCCTCTGTTGCGGTTGTTGCCTACTTCAGCTGTTTCGCATTACAAATTATTCGAATATTTCAACGACGACTTTAATGCGCGGCATAAATAGCTATGACATTACAGGATTATCGACCCTTTTCCCCGAATGTCTCGGTTTGTCTGGGATCGTAGCCGAGATATGCCAACAGCAGCAGCAGCATCAACGAAAATATCAAACCACATCGTACATGTGTGATGCATACTTTGTAACGCATGTAGGTATCTGACAAAAAATAATCGCCGTCTGTCAGAAAATTAGAGCCACCCCCCCGTTTATTCTAGCGGCGGCGGTGGCGAACCACGCTCGGTAAACAACAATATTCACGCTAGTCATAGCTTACTGAAGTATGCGAATATGAGACAAAATTTTATAAACAACAAATTGTACGCCACCGATCTCGGGGGTGCGGGACGGTACGGGATGGGAAGTATTCAGAGTCCAATCTAATGTAATGTTCACCGGGAACGTATGGGTTTTCTGAGAGTCATAGGTTTCCGATAGGCATTGCAGAAACATATGTATATGGATTTCTTTTTCCTATTCACCTAATCATTAACAATTGCTTTACGTTTTCAATATATAATTTTGATTAAAAAAATTCGATTTATAGAAAAACATACATGTTCTGTCAGATCTTTTTGAGTACATTCTAATGAAATGTGACAAGTCACGTTCCTAGCTAAATGTTAATGTCAAACATAAAATTGTCAAAGCGTCCCTGTATCAACACAAAAATATAATTTACCGTCACGAAAATACCCTATTCCCACTCGGTAATGATCTCGACGACACTCGTGCTGGTCCCGATTAGGAATCCAAACAGGCCCAGACTGACAACTGCAATGTCCTTCCACAGAATCCAATTCCACCGGCCATACTGCCGGTTGGGCCAGTAGGTTGCAATTTCCAGCAGCGGCGGGAAAACCAACGCCAGCGTGGAAGTACTGACGGCCCCTACCAGCGAGATAAACGACCCCAAATTGGGAATGATGGCCGCCAGGGTGAAGGTCAGCAGAACCAACGCGATTCGCAGTGCATACTCGGCATAATCCTGCGCGGCGTTGGAACCGAACTGGCGTCGCACAACCGGTCCCAGAATCGTCATCGGCACGTAAAACTGTAGGGCGTACGATGCAAACACGGCCACCGCCATCAGCAGACGAACCAATTCTGCCAAACTGACATTGAGATTAGAGATCAGCTGTTCAAATAAATATAATCTACGGCAGTTATGTAATACTTACAACAAATGACTAGGCAGATTGAGTGTGATGCTTCCCTGGGCGGCGTCGCCGTACTTGAGATAACCATAGAAACCGACGGCGGAGTACAGGCACACTACGATTGTCATTCCGGTGTTGAGCACTCCGTTCCATCGGCAAAAGTCCTTCGGGGTTTTCATATTGTTCTCCAGAGGCAGTATTACACCGATTCCTTCGAAAGCGTACATGACAGTTCCGAAGTACAGCGGGATCGTTCTCCAGTCCGATGCAGGCGACACCGACGTACTGCGTGGGAGGTCACTTAGCAGAAACATGAACGAGATCGTTATTCCGGAGATGGCCAGAATGGCAGCCACCATCGATGTAGGCGTGAGAAATTTTAAGCTACGTATCATGTTAAGTGCGATCAATGGCAGCAGTATGCACACGAGAACGTTGAACACGTCCGTTTTGATGGAGATGTATTCGAGAAAATCGGTCAAATTGATGGCTACGAAGAGGAAGTAGACGCAGCAGAAGCCGATCTGCATGGTGATGAGGAAACAGTTGATGAGTAGTCCGATGAGGCGTCCGAAGCGATGGAAGCAGCTCGGACCGGATTCCAGTGCGTACTGGCCCACGTCGGAGAAGGATAACGACGGGACTTCGTACCGTCGGCAGAGTTCGTGCGACACCTTGACCAAGGTGTGCATACTGTGGGTGCAGATAATACCCATGGCCATGGTTCCGAATAGACCCACGTACAGTCCAGCGTTCTTGAAGGCATCGGGCATCGCGAGGATCCCGGTGCCGAGGTTCCCGTTCAGTATATGTACCAAGGTGTCCAAGTTTGACGTGGGATTCTCCAGCTTGCGCTGCTGAAGCGGATCGTATCGTGTCAACTTTTGCCATTGATTTGCCGTTGAACCGTAAAACCTAGTGTTATTGCTGTGTAGTGCTGCGTCCAACGGGGACGGTTTCAGTCGCTCGTTGTTGTTGTTGTTGGTGGTGGTGGTGGTGGTGTAATTATCACCGTCGACTCTTTTTGCTCCAGCCGACAATAGCAAGGCCGTCTCGAGGTCACGCAGATTTGGAGCCATTCTCGTCGTCACTGTATTAACCCTTGTCCAGGACTACAACCCAGTGCAGCCGCTTATTAACGCTTCTAGCTAGATTTTTAACCCAACTACAGTGGTGGATATGCATTTGCCGTTTGGAAACACTCGTTGGCACGGTTAAGAGCTGCCCTTTCGGTTTTCGATTCACCAGTTAGAAAACACTTCCACTCGTCACAAAATTTCGATCGTCACTGATCGCTACCTTCCTTCGGCAATAGGTACGTGCACCAGAAAACACAGAAGAACATTCTACTGCGTCATCTCACTATGTACCCTATATTTATGTACCCGGTGAAAGTGGTCCTAATCAACAAACGATGGTAAAAAATTATTTATTCGACCGAACCGAACGAATCATCTTTGGGACAGGGTTTGGGAAAATTGTGGGCACGGGTGCTGATTTCTTTTTCTCGATATTCTTGTTTTCAGCAGAATTTTCCTGAAGTGCTCTGAACTGCCCTAAAGATCTCAAAACTATCATGAATTCCTCTGGACTTCTGGACAGGTCTGGACTTCCCTGAAATTCTCAGGTCTCAATTGAAATTATCTTATTATCTTAATTAACCACCCTGATGTTCGCGGTTATCTTTTATTTATTTATTTATTTATTTATTTATTTGGAGGGAAAAGTCCACACTAGTGGGTGCAAAACCTCATCATTTCAGTACCAACAGATAAAATGGAATCCTACAGATACAGAAAAGATATTAATGATAACATAATTAACTTAATTTAAATACGAAAAACAGAAACCGTCAGGAAATTAAAAGTACATTATAAAACAGATTCTTAAGTTAAGTTAAGTTAAGGGAGATAGTAAAATCAAAGCAGTTATAACATTTGTTGAAAATCTTGCACATGCTAGTTAACGCTCGAGTAAACGGCTCATTAACGCCGTAGTTTGTGCGAGAAGCCGAGATGTTGAAAAATAATAAGAACGTAAATTTACGCGTCTGATATTGACATTCAACTGCTGCAGAAGTGAACCGCAATTAATGTCCGATCGTAGGAGATCAGCGATCAAGGTAGCCTTAGACGAGGGGCAATTCACTGCTCTCAGAAATGAATCGAAAATACGTGAATGAAAAAAATACACAAAAATTCATCATAACTCGTCATTACTCAAAAAAATGCAAAAAAATACAAAATTCGGAAAAAAATACATAAATATTCGACGAATAATAAAAATACACGATAATTCGTCATTTGCACGACAAATTCGAAATATGTACAATCAAAATGCTGAATTCGGACAAAATGGGTAAATTTATTATTTTATATTTTAATCCGAGCTCGAATCACAAAACAATGCATTAATGAGTAGGATTTCACCCATTTTTAAGAAAAGTGCCTTAAATCGTTTATTAAATAAAAAAAACATTAATGAGTAGTTGTGACCCAAAAATAAGTAACGAAGGCGTAACAGGCTTGGTAACAGATGCTTATTTATGCGTAATGAGCGAGGTAAAGGGCTGTTCATAAACTACGGGGGGGAGGGGTTAGTTGGCAATTATCCACGGCCCATACACATTTTTAAAGTTTTGTATGGACAATTGTCAACGTAGGTGGGTGGGGTGGCTCAAGAATCTGTCTACGTAACTAATGTCAAGCCCCTAATGAGTTTATGAGTTAAGCCTCTTTTCTTTAAATTGGGTGAAATTCTACTCATCAGTAGGTATTTCAAAGTTAGCGTGTGCTGTGCATTTGTCAAACAAAACGTCAACATTGTGAGTTTGATCCGTTTGATAATCGGTTCGAGTGGTAAACATAAACACTGAATTGACAGAATACACTTATAACTGATTTTCAATACATTAATGCATAAAAATACACTTTTATTTTTCTAATACACAAAAAATTACATATATTCAAAAAGTGCAAAATAATACATTAATACGCAAAATACACGTTTATTCGATAAAAAATACTTCAATACGTTCATCAATACGTTGGCCTGAATCGAAAATACACAAGTGAATCGCCCCTCGGCCTTAGAGACGTAGTAACACACTAAGTAATTGAAGGGACATCAAATTACAGCGACTTTCATAACTAGGGAGATTGAAAGGATCACTTCAGGGTAGCCAACGAAGGGAGAAACGTTCAAATCTTCGCTGAATGGCCTCAATACGATTCACCCCGTTGCTGTAAAAAGGAGCCCATACTAAGGAACAGTACTCTAATGTGGAGCGGCCTAGCGAACAATAGAGTGTTTTTAAACAGAAAATGTCCTTAAAATCTTTGGTGAAACGAAAAATGAAACCAAGTTGAGAAGATGCCTTAGCGGAAACATAAGCCACATGGTCCTTGAAGGTGGGTTTTGAATCAAGTAGGACGCCTAAGTCTTTAATGGTAGATTCACGGCTTAATATTTGCTCCTGCAAGCTGTAAGAACTTCAGATAGGTGATTTTTTCCTGGAAAATGTTATAATGGCACATTTAGAAGCATCTAATACCATCCTGTTCTGGCAACGGATCGAAAAGTGAACGTCATTTAGATACAATAAAAATATGAACGGTCCCAGATGACTGCCTTGAGGTACACCAGAAGAAACAGCGAACGGTTGAGAAAAATGATCTTCAATCTTCACTGACATATGTCGACCGGTGAGGTATGAGCGAAGCCAATCAAGGAGGGAACCGTGAAAGCCAACTCGCTCTGGTTAGGCCACTGCAATCTCGTGATTGATTTTATCAAAAGCAGCAGAAAGATCGGTGTAGATAGCATCCACTTGATGACGTCTTTCCATCTCGCGTATGATTGATGATGTGTATTGAACAGTTCAGTGTTGTTCAGTCGCGATGTAACTAGACCATGTGTGGTTTAAATAATCTAGCATCAATAGTTCAAAAAGTTTTGAGACTGCACATAAAGCAGCGATACCATGGTAGTTGCACACCGACTGCTCATTGCCTTTTTTGAAGACTTGGAAAACAAAAGAATCCTTCCAGCAGTCGGGAAAGATCCCAGAATTCAAAAAAAGGTTGAAGATGGATACTAAAGGTGCGGCCAGCACTCCAATACAGTTCTTAATAACCGCGGAAGGGATTCCGTCAGGGCCAGTGTTGGAAGAATTTGTCAAATAGCAGAAAGTACGGGAACATCACTTACGGCGGCTACGATGTGCTCGTTAGGTAAATTTTCTTTGACGAAAACACTGCTGAATTGTGACATGAACAGGTCAGCGATTCCCTCCGTATCTGATTCTTCTCGATCCGTATGGTAGAAGTTAAGCCCGATTCCTTCCGTTGATCGTTTACATGATTACAGAAGCTCTTGGGATTTGCTTTGACTTTAGTTTGTAGATGGCGCTGATGGGCTTGATAAAGCTGTTTGTTGAGCCGCTTATACTGTTTGTTAACGAGGTTGTACTTCCTCTTGGATGCATCCGTACGAAGTTTACAAAATTTCTTCAAGGCAGCTCGTTTGGATGACTTCAGTCGCTTGAGTCGGTGGTTGGTCCAAGGAGGGTTACTAGATATGGGTGGAGTTGTCATGGGTACAAACTGGTCGATCGCATACACGACAATATTCTAGAATATATAAGAGGTGCAATGTATGAGGCATTAGAGCGAGGATGAAAGAACCCCGTTTTATTCGATGCCCAGTTGACTGAAGCATGATTGAAATCACCAACAACAAGGATTTCGTCAGTCGCATTCATCTTGGATACAACCCAAAAAAGTGAATCAGTGTGTTGATCGATCAACTCAGAATCGCCAAGTCGATCCGGGGGTAAATACAACACGCAAATGAAGACCACTTTCAACGGTAGGGTAACAGCCACCCACACCTGTTCGACACCTGAGCTAGTAGGTGGATGAAGTAACCGAGAGTTAAAAGTAGAACGAACTGCTAGCAAGACACCACCGCCGGAAGCTTTGGGGCTAGTAGCTCGAGAACGATCAGTGCGATAGACCGTAAAATCCGAACTAAATATTTGCTTAGAAAGTGTGTTGCTGTTCAACCAAGTTTCGGTGAAGGCGTACATATCGTAACAATCATCCGAGCAGGCCAATTGGTACTCAGCTACAGTTGTCATGCCTCCAACGTTTTCGTAATACAGCAATATTTCAGCTCTCTAAATCCTGGATGCGTTACAGTTGTCATTAGAGTCATCACGGTGGGGAATGACTGAAATTGTCGAAGGACTATGTACGGATGTGTAGTGATCATTTCCCGCTTCGGCAGGACATATACTGTTCGTGCAATTACCTGAGAAACCAAGCTCAGTGACTTGAGCATTGCAATCAGAGTCATCCTGGTGAGAAGCGGCTGAAACTGCGAAAGAACTTTTTACGGCAGTGTATTCACCAACAAACCGACATGCAACTTAATGCTGACTTATGCCCGAAAATTGTAAACGGCCGTTTTAAATATGCAGTGATCCGAACTGTCAAAACCATAGGAATTTTTTGATCTAGATAAAAATAATTTATCCAAAATAGATCAGACACGAAGCCAGATTGCTTTGGTCAAAAAATTGATTGTTTTTGCTATGGTCATGCATGTCGGTTGGTCGGTGGTGTAGTGATCATTTCCTGCTTCGGCAGGACATATACAATTTGCGCAATTACTTGAGAAAACAAGCTCAGTAGCTGATTGCTACTTCCAAAGGCGAGACTAGAATGGGGCAACGCTGACAAAACTGGGCCAGAATCCATTTTTGGTAACGGTTTTAGTGAAAATTGGGTTGTCCAAAACTAGTACTTTGAAGGATACAAAGCTCAAAGGACGTCCCTCTGGAACGAGACTGGCAGATGATATTGTGTTGCTGCATCTTTCCGCACTTGACCAATTGCAGATAACAATGTAGATATGTTGTCTGCAACATATGAAATATTTAAGGGCGGGGCAATATTTGGTCGGCGGGGAAGAATCGAGAGAATATTATTCGTGGCATAGTACAATCCATCCAGCGCGTAGCCATCTCAATAGGAATCATGTTGTCCCAATCCGTGTCCGTCCGCCAAACGTCTTGAATATTATCCTGTATTTTCTCTGCAATAGTACCGGCAGCGTTAAAGGTAACGTTAGACAATCTTCTGCAATCTCGAGATGATTCGGTCCAAAATAAACAAAGCAGTAACCATACTTATGAGTACGATTGGTAAAACTCAACAGTGCTGCCGTTTATATAATACTAGCTGAGTGTGCCCGGTCTTGCTCGGGATTCAATATTAGCTTGAGTTTATGCGCCGATTTAAAAAAAAAGCATGCTATATTGTACGTAGCCCCCCCTATTATCTAAGGGGCTACCCCCTATGATTATCTCCTTATAC